CCTTCCTTCTCCCATAGCCCTGCAAAGTTTTGCTTTCCAAGCTTAATTCTGTTTCTTTTTAAATCTGCACCTTCTCACGCTCCACTTACCAGATCTTTATTGCATACATTTGCTGCAAATAAAAATCTCACCCCAGCTCCTGTTTTTTTTTATTCCCAATTATCCCAAATCCACATCCTCTACGTATTGCCCCTCCTGCTGAGGGAAATAGCACCTCCCTTTTCAGAGGATAGTTAAGAGAGAACCACATTTCTGTGGGCCTGGAGTCACATGTAGTTAAAGAGGGCAGATTTCCTTCCTTAAAGGATATTGCCGACAAGCCTAGTTTGTCCTGACAGTCGGTGACCATTTCACGGTCACCAACACTGAGACTACCTTCACATTCCAGATTCCATTAATTGAATTTAAATTCCACCACACCTTTATCCTGGGGCTTTCAGCAACTTGTCCAGTAAGCCATTGTCTCTCTCCTGCGACCCCCTGCTGGGGGAGGGTAAGTTGTACTTGGTTCCAGTACACATCCGGTTACAAGATCAGAGGCATAAATCAGATACCAGATTGCTTATATTTTCAATCTAGAATGACAGTCATAGAGGCCTACAGCAAATGGCCCTTCAGCCCATCGAGTCTGCACCAGTCAAAAACTATTCTAATCTTGTTTTCCAGCACTATGTCCATAGCTTGTTTGCCTTGGCATTACAAGTGCACATCTAAATACTTCTTAAATTTTATGGTGGCCAAAACAGGCTATTTAATTGGACTACCTCAGTTCTCTTTGACTTTCTTTTCCCCCATTTGTTTAGTAATATTTTAGGTCATTTGGCCTTCAACTCTTCACACCTCACCAAACCCACCCATTCTCATGCCACTCCATGCCCCACCCTAATTTACTGCCAACCAATGCCACCCTATCCCCACTGTTACTCATCAACCCCATGCAAGCTTAATGCCATATCATGCCAACCCATTTTGCTGCCCACTCCAATGGTTCCTTATTGCCCCCATGCCTATTTGAGGCCAATTTATGATCTCCATCCAAACCTTATGCTGTTATATCCTTCATGTCACTCCATCCAGTATGTACCACGGGCAGACCTCAGCAAACACGTTGGAATTATACAAATTAAGGGTCTAAATACCCATTTCAGCCTTTGCCTTGATCTCTCCTTTAGGATTGTAAATCCCATATCGCAGACTAAGGCTGTTGCTAAAGCAAAATTGTGGTTGTTGAACACTGAGTTAAAATGATCCTGCAGGGTTTGGATTTCCAGTATATGTGACTCATGCCTTCATCCCTTTCGTCTGTCAATGACTTGTCAGGATTTGTCAGAAATGGGAGTAAGACTTAAGAATTCAGGATCAGTCCACAATTTTGGAAGGTACATCAAATCTCCAAAATTCCATGAAAATCTGGCAATGGTCTCTGTCTCAAATAATAACCCTGGTGGTGAATTCCATAGATTCACAACCTTGTGTAAAAAGAGTTATCCTGCTGTTAGAAATCTAGCCCAAATATATCATCATGCCTTCCTTTAGAAGTTAGCCATCCAGCAAATGTGGAGAAGGTGAGGTTAAATCTCCACTCTACTGGCAAATAAAAGATGGTTTGGGAATTCAAAGACAGATGAGACAAACAGTCAGATATCCAGGATGGATTTTACCTGGATAAGGGAGGTGATTACTAAGAGACTCATCTATCTAAACCATTTGATCCAATCTAAACGTGAGAACAATGGAATTTGCTTGGGCAGTAAACATTTTTGTACTGAGCAGAGCCAATGTTCTCTCAAAGGAAGCTTATATATTTCAAAAAGGGGCATTTCTTTGCTGAAATAAGGGATGGGCTCTCAAGACTGGATTGGAAGTAAAGTCAAAGAAATAAGGACAAAGAGATGAACAGGAGTTGCCCAAGGTTTCCAAGTGGTAAAGGAGTGGGACATGGGACATGTACCTTCCCTACTGTATGGAGCACTGGAGACAATGAGGAATCTATTTGTTATAGTCGTAGCTTGGAGATGCAGAACTAATCACTCTTGATCTGTGGGATTTGGGACGTATTATTTACCTACCATTCAAAGTAAACCAGCAAACAATTGTATAAGAATAATCATATTGTCCTGTAACCTCACATCATCAAATCTTTGTTCATGTTTCCATCTCAGTCAGCACCATAGCGAAAAGTACTATTCTACCTCTAAAACATCAAAATTCTCACACTAGCGTTAAGTCCGTTGTTGTCCACAGAATTCTACCAAGTTCTTATTGTGGTTTTCCAGTTTTAGTTTTCCAGACTGTCATTATCACCTTTTGGCTTTTACATTCTATAACACATAAAATTCCACTTTTTTACAGCCTGGTCAACTTGAGGTGCTGCCAGGACTCTACCTTGAACCTGTAAACCCAAATTGTTACAGTCTTTTAGGCAATGAACCTACTTTTGTTGAATACAATGTGTGCTGTTTTTTTTTATAAACTTTAAGTGTCTCACCATCACATTCACTGACAATTTGCACTTGCTTGGCAGTGAATTCCATCTGCCACTTTCTTATCAATGCCTCTTTGCAAATTCCTTTGATTTTCTAAAGATGTGATGCTTCCTAAGTTGTTATCATCTCCAAATTTTGACCCTGCTCCCTATCATTTTTAATCCAAATTATTGCTCTAGGGAGAGCGTAAGAGACCTCAGAACTGAACTCTGTAACTACAACTGCTTACATTTCCAACAAATCTGAAAACCATTGTTAACTCTTGGTCTATATCTCTATTCAATCTTTAATCTTGTTTAGCATTTTCCTATCACTCTTTTCTAACACCGTCAAATAATTTCTTGAAGTCCATGCATATTAAATACATTCTCTTCCTAAATTACGTCTACGATATCCTGAAAGGATGATGAAGTTTGATGTGATGAAATCATGTTTATTACTGCATGAGTGAGATTCTGTGGTCATGTCTTCCCTTTCCTATTATCCCATCCCTCACTGAAATACTCTCCACACAGAGTAACTTTGCTGTTGAACGTCCTTTATCTTGCCCTGTTTGTGGTCTCCCTTTACCACACCCACATTCCTCCACTGCTTCTGGCCTTTGGCAACTGATATGTATCACCAGCTACAATTCTTCACTTGCACCAGAAACTGCCCAGAAAATCAATCAACCAGCAGACAAATCAAAATGATCCAGACCAGACAGAAGCTGTATTATTATTTTAGATACTACAGACCCTTCCATTTCTTTAGAATTCATTGCAGGGCTTGTCATAGGAGACATTACAGTGATTGGGCAGAGCACTAATTGGCTAAAATATAATCCTAATTTATTCTCACAAATCAGGAGGAATATAATGCAGATTTTCAACTCAGGTTGAGTTCAAGATTGTGGCAGATAGGAGGTAGTACTCAGGATTCAGAAATAGCACAGATTTTGTTCCTATGGTTACTAATGCTAGTAGCGTCATTTGTTAATGTAGTCCTAGAAGGCCTAGGTTATAAAAAGAATTAGTACACTTATAGGAACAAAAATGTGTCAATAAATTCCTCCTTCCATTCATTCATAGAACAATCTAATGTTGAAGGAACTATAAAAAAAAGTTCACAACATTAAAATTCACAACAAAGGAAGCTTATTACAGAAGCCATCACTGCTGGTGAACAATTTTAATGGTTTGTATTTTTCAGATCTGAACACTTTATATAAAGTCAATGGGCTTTGGTTTGTTTATGTTTTGTGTTGCAATTGAAGATAATGACAACTTGTAAATGGTAGCCATGATGTGGAGGCGCCAGTGTTGAACTGGGTGGATGAAGTCAGAAATGACATGACTGCTGGTTACAGTACAACAGTTTTATTTGAAATCACAAGTTTTTGGAGAGTTGCTCCTTCATCAGGTGAAGTGGAGGGAAGCGCACAGGCATAGATTTTATATGCTTCCAAGCTGAGTTTACAGCCTTACTCTTGCAGTCAATCTGGTAAAGTGAGCTACTAAAACCCTTTGCCAATTTCCCAGCACTTCAAACAGTAGCTGTAGTACAGGGAGGGGAAGAGGGTATTGACAATCAGGGATCTGCAGAATATTAAACTGCCTCCCTCTCCCACCTCACCATCCCACCTTTTCTTTAAAGGCTCCCCCTACTGAGTATTCATTTATTCTTTATTTGTGGTTGTGCACAGTTTTATTAAGTTTTAAGAAAGAACAGACTAATAGCTCAAAATAAGAAACCAAGGACAGGGAACCATTCTTTCCATGCCAGTCACCCCAACCTCTATTTCCTGGTCTTCCCCGTGACGGGCATCAGGCAAAATTTTCAAAAATCTGTAACTTGTAAAACGTTTAACTTTCTATTGACTTTTGTTCTATACATATCACCAGATACTGATCTTTGAAAATAATTCAGAAATATCTCCAATTTGTGTTTTGCTTTCTGAAAATTAATAGAACTCTTAATTCTAGTTATCAAGTATATATTGCTACCATTAGTGCTTTCTCATAAGCAGCTCCTTGTGGAATGGAACTCTTATACATACTATAATTAAAATGGTGTAACATAGGCTAGCAATTACCCATATCACTGGATTTGTACTACAGATATACAGGATGGGACAATCATTATGCTGCAAGGTAGCACAGTGCCTAGCACTGCTACCTCACAGTGCCAGGAATCTGGGTTTAATTCCAGATTTCGGTGACTGTCTGTGTGGGGTTCTGCTGGGTGCTCTGGTTTCCTCCCACAGTTCAAAGATGTGCGGGTTAGGTGGATTAGTCATGGGAAATGCAGAGTTGCAAGGATAGGGTGAGGCAGGGTGGAATGCTCTTCGGAGGGTCGGTGCAAACTTGATGGGCTGAATGGCCTGCTTGCGCACTGTAGGGATTCTATGATAATTCTGCCTACTGAGAAACAGGATATGAATCACACCATCAAGTTCAGGCTATCAATCAATAACAATTATTTATTTACAATAGACAAAATAATTATAAAGAAGCAAAAAAAATGCAAGTTGGCTATCATACAAATTCTTGAGTTACAAGATACTTAAACTGCATAAATTCACAAGCTATTCTTTGACATCTTCCAACAAAGTCTCTGATGAAATACTGCACAGCTGATGGCCCATTGGTGGCTCTCTGTCCAAGTGGAATAGGTTGAAGCAGGAAATTAAATGAGGGAAAAGCCTACATCTTTTACACACTTTTCTACAATTCCAAAGATCCAATTTATGATCAAAGATTTTCTTTCAATGACCAATTAAAAAAATAGCCAATCGTGGCCCTTAACCGGATAAAGGATATACAGTATTCTACTGACCACCTGGGTTTGACTCCTGAACTCCTAGAAAAACTGATCCACATTTGTAAATAAAATAATCTAGTACAACAACAGGCTACAAATACAAGTATCCCTTTCAAATTAAATGGCGCACATCCAAGCTAATCTGTAGGCTAAAGAGCTTGCCTGAAGCCAGCAGGCAACGTACAACCTCATTTTTAAAAACAGCACATCATAGTATATTCACAACTGTTCACATTGTAGACAAGATAGAATATACATTTGTTACAAATAATTTACCTGCCCTGGTTCCTGACACACAGTTGGCATCAAGTACTCAGCAAACTATATCTATGCAGTCATGTGATTTAAAAAGGAAGTTACAGCTTTTCACATCTTGCCCACTCCATCTATCAGAATTTTAAATATCATTGCACTGAACTGAATTGGGCTTTGGTGTAGATAAATGGGTTGCAGATTCACGTACATTAGCTTAATTTGATCATTTAAGCTATGGCAATCAATGTGTTGTTTTCAAAGAATAACCTAGTTCAGAACAAGATATGACTCATGAGAAAAAAAAACTGGCTTTTGACAGAGGTAACAACAGGAAAAAGAATTTAAAAATTTTGTAAGGAGGCGAAATGGTGTGAAGAGTGGCAATTTTCATTCCAAAGATGGTGGTGCAACAAAGGGGACTTGTGCCTGGCCACCAGGCCCATGGTAGAGCACTTAACAAAAAAGATTGTAAAGTTAAACACTTATTCTTTTTTTCGGCCTTTATATTGTATGTTTTGGTTTATTTTTCTGTGTTTTAAAGTAGTGCCAGAGATACAACACTTTTCACTATATTTTGTAAATAAATACACATGACAATATGTAAATCAAATCAAAACAAACAATTGTATAATGAATTAGATTAGAATAATTAGCATTTCTTTTCTATTTTAAGCAGAATGAGTAATCACAGAGTCTCCCTGATTCTTTGGTGAAGGCAGAAATTGAACTGATAATAGTTTAGTGATGGTGACACAAATTGATTTCAGGATTGTTTTGAAATGGCAGCTGCTTGTATTGAAAAGAACGGAAGCATTTACACAATACGATGATTAATAGCCTCTAACACTTCTATGATGCAAACTTTGTACAGCAGTCCATTGCACAGTTGCCCTAAATACAACAGAAATACTTACATTTTGAATATTAAACAGACTTAACATGTAGTGTATTTCACAACCACTGGACATAACAATACAATTTACAGCAATTATTGAAATGTAGCTCATTTGGTCTTTAACTCCTACTGCAATGTGATAATGATCTGATAATTTGTTTTTGTGAAATTGAGATACAATGATTTTTCTGTTTGTTCCAAATAGTTACTGTTATCAGTGGGAAAGAAAAAATCTCCAAGTCTGAAATTCATTTTGCTTTTTCTGGGAGCCATTTGTCATCTTCCAGTGATAAGATTCAACCTTACCACATTCAGAAATAAGCCTTAAATAAATGTGAAACAACGTTTCTCTGTTATGTTAAAAAAAATTCCAGTTTTTTTAAAGCTAATTATTTCAGCAGCTGTGCATGTACTTCAACTTTTGTTATGCTGTGCAAAAGTTATTGAAGAATGAATAGTCACATGTTATTTCCTAGTTTGTTTTTGGTACAGATACTTCAATATGATTACCTGTTTACACCGCATGACAGTATCACTGTTGCTGGATACTTGGAAATCCCTTTCCACTGATGCCAGATACAAATTAATTTCAGAAAAAGATGAAATCACGGGTTTCCTTAAATCTTTGGAGCCAGCTTTTCTCAAGCTCAGTGATGAGTGCGATCACTGCACTGCTAACTACACAATCTGGGCCAATAATTAAAATTTCTCTGCCTGAAAAAGGGTCACTTTAAAGAGACTGGTGCCTTCTACAAACTAAGAGTATTAGTTTTGTGGAAGCATCCCCATGATTGTGAATGACCACAGTCCAATATAAATATTAATCATTATAAAAATCTCAACTTTATTAATCTTACTTTGGTGATTGTATTTCATGAAAATTTTGCGTCATGTTTGTACACAACTGGTTAATATTTAAAAATAGTGACAATTTCAAATCATAAGGCACATACCAACTGGGAATGGACAAAAGTAATGCAAGAAAGAAAACTATGATGGGCTCAAAAAATAACCAATTAAAACTAACTACAGCCACCAATGGGAAAAGGATGCCAATTAGCATGGTCCAAGTTTATTTTGAAAATCTGTTGGCTGAGCATCTTGAACATCTACTAGCACAGACAGTACCAAAATGAGGTTTCTAATTTTTTAAAAATTGCATGAGTAATTGATTTAGTTTGTAAGTAAGGCAGTATTTTTGCTAACTTAGAATGCATACAGAATATTCCACTGGAGTCTTGTACCTGGGAAGCCTAGTATTTGACTTAATCTTGACACTAAGTTATTGCTATTACTGTAAACAGCAGATATTGCAAATGGGTTTCTCTGCTTGTAGCTTACTACATCGTTTGGATTTGTGAAAGGTTTCCCTCCAAAGAGCAGAAATGGTACAGCTATTTCGACAACTGCTCTGTTCAGTGATAAAGGCAAAAAACCAATGTGATGGCATGTTAGGACGTACATTTTCTCCGCCTCTCTCAATTCAAGTAATGCTGATTGTCACTGACTCTAACAATATTTTCTAGATGTCCTACTACTACTTCCTTCACAATAGATTCCATCATTTACCCAATGGCAGATGTTATGACGAACTGGTGTATAACTTTCCGATTTCTGTCTCCCTTTTTTCTTGAACAGAAGTACAGTTTGCCATTCTGCAGGAACTGTACCAAAATTTAGGGAATTTCAGAAGATTGTATCTAATGCATCCACCATTTGTGCAGCCACTTCCTTTAGCAGTCAAGGTGCAGGCCACCAGGTCCCGGGGACTTATCAGTCGTTAGACTCATCAACTTTCCTGGTACTTTTTTCTCAAATGATTTTGATTGCTTAAACTCTTATCTACATTTTGCCTCTTGATTTTCTACTATCCTTGGGATGTTCTGTGTCTTCTACTGTGAAAACAGACACAAAATACTTGTTTAAAAGGTCTACCATTTCTTTCTTCCCATTATGAATTCCACACTCTTATTCCCAAAGGGAGTCAATGTTTACTTCAGGTACTCTTTTCATTTATAATACTTTAGGTAGTTCCTACTGTCCTCTTATGTTCCTTGACAGTTTGCTCTCATGCTCTAATTCTCTTTTTAGTTATCATTTGCACAATTCTAAGTTTTGGCTCCTCAATTTGCAAGGTTACTAATCTTTGCATCTTTGTAAGTTTTAACTTTCAATTTGACACCATCCTTAACTTCCTTTTGTACTCCTTTACATTTTAGGCACTATTTTCAACCCAAATTTCTCATCCTCAAACTGAATGTGACATTATATCATGTTACAATTATTATCTAATGGATCCTTTACCGTATAGTCGCTAAACCTCATTACATTGATGTAGGCAGCTCACTTTCAGATGAAATTTTGGATTGAGGCCCTGTCTCAACTTTTATAAAACATACCACAAAATACTTGATGAGCAGGAGAGCCTTTTTGTCCTGGTCAATTCTTAACCAACACTAAACAAGCTGACCAGTTACTCACTTTACTGTTATTTCTGGGACCATATTGTATGCACGTTGCCTGCTGCATGTGCTGACAAAGCAACAGTGACTGAAGTTCAAAAGCCATTCATCGGCTACAGAACACTTTGGGATATTCTGATGATACGACAGTTGCTATTTAAATACATGTCCTTTTTTCACAAGTTAAAATGTACCTTATCAATTTCCTTCCAGTGGTAGATTAAACACTTTTTCTTATGGGAACCAAAAAAAACATTCACTGTTACCCATACATCTCAAAAGACTTTCTAAGTCTTCTCTGTGGAAATGACTAACATTTACATCTCACAATGGTGTCTAACTCAGTGACAAATACCACAGAGGATCTGCAAGAAAAATTAACTATTAAAAAATATCATTAAATTAGATATATTGTACCAACTGAAACAAAAGCTTCAGATAAAAGCTATGGGATAACATAACTAACTTTCTAGTTCAATGTCAAAAAAAATTCATACAGAAAACATGACAAGAATACACCATGTGAAAACAAGAACAATAATGTCTCTAACACAGATCTAACTATGGAAAACATTAGAAGATCAGCATATCAGAATATAAATATCTAATATTTATACCAGCCCTCAATCCCTCAGTTCAATACACACATAATAAAAGTGATAACATGCAGAACTCAATGGGTTGCATTGCCAAAAATGAGATAAAACTGTTTGACAATAAGCAGGGTCACAGTTTCAAATGGATAAAGCAATTTCAACTACAAGGGCTGGAAGTACTATTGTTGTGTAATCAAGATATAACAACATTAAAGGTGTATGTATTTCAGTTAGGTAAACAACTTACTTTTGAAATAGCACAATCAAGACTAATACAGTCCATGTGACTAAAACAAATACTTCACATAAAAAGATTTCAATAAATGATGTTATCATGGTGATTAGAGAGTTTGGCAAAAAAAAACATGAACAACTATCCCAAATACAGAGGAAGGAAATAAAAAAAAGCCCTTCTTCCAAATGTTAAGAACATTACAAACATTTTGATGCATGTTAACTATTTCTGAAGCATGTTAACCATTCATGTACATGATTTTTTGACTCCAAATAAACGTGTGCCCAAAGGTCACCACATAAATCTCTGAACTTCTGTGCTATCTTGCCACTGAAAGGTTTTGTAGAGAAACAAATAAACAGTTAGCACATTCACTGCGAAATAGATAGCCAGCTCTGCAAGAATCTTAAAGCCCAAAGGCATTGGGATGTTCAGTCTGTAGATAAGATATGGCATAATGAAATAACGAAATTCTAATAATTTTTGTGGAACAGTGGCAGCAGCCAAACAGATAAAAAATACTAAGTTCCAGAAAACTGATTTGGACTTCAATGTTTCAATGAATGTCCAAAGAGCAAAGATATACCCTGGGACCAACATATACTTGATTAGTTCGTGCCTCTGAAAGATATTTTTCCAAATATAAAATGTGTAATGTCTGTTATCAGCCAGCAAGAAATTATGGACATAAGTGAACTTCCAAACCAACAACAAGGAGACAAAAACAAGAACAACATAAAATAATGGTTGCTTTTGTACTGAACTTACGAAGGAAAATACCTTATGAGGAGAAAGCAAATGTGAAACTGAGAATACTAGGGTGAAGGAGAGGAAGTAGAATAACTGAGGAAAATTGAGCGAGATCTCATGGTTGGTCCTGTCGCCAACAACTATTCCTCCATTCAGGGAGACAAATAGCAGAAATCCCACAACTAAGATGATGTATGGCCAGGTCAGAAGCATCAGTGCTTTCAGATTGTTCAGCGACAAGACATACTCTAAGAGGAAGCGCACAAACTTCTTGATTTCCACGGTGGAATTTAGAACAGCTGTCTTTTCATCCCTTTTCTTGACAGAATCGATTTTCCATGCTTCAGCCAATTTCTGTGCCACAACAGTTCCTGCACAGAATACTATCCAGACGATGTTAGTCTGACGGAACATAAAAGCACAGAATCCAAGGCAGGCAGCAATACAATGACTCCCATACAGGCACATCAGATAAGTAAATAAAATAAAGAATGTTGAGCCTGCATCTGTGTAATAGAGGAATGAGAAAAAGTAAAGCAGGGGAAATGAGGCAAGTGTTAATGCAGACATAATTCTCTGGAATGCTGAGGTGGCCTGTGAAGGGGAAAAAAAGAAACAATTACAACATTATTCATTGACAAGATGTCTGCATTAAATTAATAAAAAAGTAACTCCAATTTTGATGGGACTAATATAACCAAGCAAATACTCTATCATTCATATTCTTTATTTCCAATTTCTATTATTTTTTGAACACAACATCAGGTGATCATCATTCATTGCTAGTGACAGGTTCTACTTTTACAAGTCCAGTTAATTCACTCTGATGTGAATTATTTCCAAGCCATTATTTCTTAGAACAGTATCGGGGAAAATAAGCATGTTTTACATAAAATGATCACAGGGCTGCTCTTTTATGTGAAGGGGTAACAGTAATGGGGACCAGAGCAAATAACATATTGTATCAGCAAGAGTTACTTCAGTTCAGCAGACCTGAAGATACAGGTAAACCCTTGAGCCATCACCATTAACTCATTTGTGCAGATTTAGAACATAAATAGAACATAGAACAGTACAGCACTTTGGCCCATGATGTTGCGCCGACCTATTATCCTACTAAGATCAAACTACCCTGCATACCCTACATTTTACTATCCTCCATGTGCCTATCCAAGAGTCGCTTAAAAGTCTCTAAAGTATCTGACTCCACTACCACTGCTGGCAGCGCATTCCACACACCCACCACTCTGTGAAGAACCTACCTCTGACATCTCCCCTATACCTTCCTCCAATCACCTCAAAATTATGCCCCCCTCATAATAATCAGTTCCGCCCTGGGAAAAAGTCTCTGACTATCCACTCTATCTATGCCTCTTATCATCTTGTACACCTCTATCAAGTCACCTTTCATTCTTCTTCGCTCCAATGAAAAAAGCCCTAACTCCCTCAACCTTACCTCATAAGACCTGCCCTCCAGTCCAGGCAGCATCCTGGTAAATCTCCTCTGCACCCTCTCTAAAGCTTCCACATCTTTCCCATAATGAGGTGATCACAACTGAACACAATAGTCCAAGTGTGGTCTAACCAGAGTTTTATAGAGTTGCAGCATAACCTCATGGCTCTTAAACTCAATTCCCCTGCCAATGAAAGCCAACATACCATACGTCTTCTTTACTTCCCTGGATTACAGAATGGTCCAAATAGTCATAAGATGAATGTAGAAATATTCTACTGCTATTCTCATAAACAATCAAAGCTCAGTGTTTGATGACTAGGATGGAGACTAACAAAAGGCATTAGAAAACAATGTCAATTACATCAGTTCCAAAAAAAAATTCATAAGTACACAAATGTGTCAGATGGAAATCTGAAAATATTCCAGAACAAAGCTCCTCACATGCTTATTTGTGGAAGTCACCGTTTGATATGATACAGACCAGATGTCCTATGTTCACCTTCCACTCAGCACTGCATTAGCTGAGACATGAACTATTTCTCACTGTCCAAGGGCTACGAGCAAGGAAATTAAGCGAGAGTTTCACATCCTGATGGTTAGACAACACGTATAGAAATGGTCTTCCGTCACCTCTGTCCTTATCCAATGTACTGTGGCTTGAAACCATGAGTCAAGCATTGGAGGTCTACCTTCATATCTCTAAACATGACTGATTAAGAAGGCGGAGCAGTGAAGGAGATGCACTACAATATAAAATAATTCCTCTCTGCATAAATACATAGTATTTTATAAATCCTATTTAGAATTTTAATCTTAAAACATTGCTTTATGTTAATAGTACATTATTGGGTTTATTCATGCAGATGGTAGGCATTAGCTGAGGTTTTACTTGAGAAAACTATGATGATACTATGGCTTTAAGAGGCATATTTTGTACTTTTTTTTAATGAAGATCGAGACAGAGGTTCAGAGTGGTCAGCGCAAAGACAATAAACTGCTTGTGAGGCCTTGGGGTTGAATGGGTGGAGTCAGGCTCCCACAGAACCAAGATTTTTAGTTTTAGCTTTCTGCAGATGCTGAGGTCTTGAAGCTGGATGTGGAAGCTTATTCCTCTCTCTGTTACAGCTAAAAGCTGGGGTTCTCTTCCTGCTGCTAGAATTGCATGTGAGACCATCTATTTTACTGAATTTGCCTTTGCCAGGGGTGTGTTTATGGGATGTTATACTGGAACTGTTAATTAGTAATAGTTAATGTATATTATTTTGTTAAGCATTTCGAAAGAGTTACAGTTAAGCCAATTCTTCCCTTTTATTTTGCCTGTTTTTTAACAATAGTGGATGAATGAACTGTGTTTTGCTTCAAGCCTGGTAGTTTCACCAATTGGGTTGCATCTGGATCACAACACTTGGCACTTGCTTTTCAAATAAGGAAACGTTAGGGCCTAGGTTATCTCCCTGACATGTTTTAATGGGATTTGGTCTGGTTGATAACCACACGCAAAGACACATTTTCTGAAACTCTGGTGCAATTGAGCTAATGGTATTCTTGCAATATTTAACTTTGCAAATTAATGGAAGATTAAGGAAAGATTGACTCCAGTACTCATCTTCAATTGGCTTTCTGGAACATAACACTTACAACCAGAGCCATACAGTTTTAAGTACAGGTTTTCTCTACTTCCAGCGTATCAGGCATGCTTTATTATTTTCACGCATTGAAAAGAAATTAGAAACTTGTGTACCTTGTCCTTCTGATGTATTTTGCACAACAGCAGATAAAGCAAGTAGAGGTTCCCAGTATTGAACAGAAGATTAATGAATCGTAGCATTCCTGTAGAACACACCACACTCCCTGTCCAGCCCATCAGCCAAGATACTGGCTTGATTATCCCAGTAGACACCAGATAGAGGCCAGGTAGAGTTGTGATCATTGGATCCCACTGCATATTATGAGAGAATTAAGCAATTCATAATTTAAATATACGTAAATTGCGAATAAGTGCGTACTCACAGTACAGTTATAATATAGTAATGCAGTTGTAATCAGTGATAGTATAGTCAGGAAAATAGACACGGTTTTCTGTGGCCAGGATTGACAGTCCCGAAGGCTGCGTAGCCTGCCTGGTGCCCAGGTTCAGGGTATCTCATCTGGGCTGCAGAGAAACTTGGAGTGGGAGGGGAAGATCCAGTTGTTGTGGTCCACATAGGTACCAACGATACAGGCAGAAAGAGGGAAGAGGCTCTGCTGAGGGAAAATGAGCAGGTAGAGGCTAAATTAAAAACCAGAACCAAAACAGTAATAATCTCTGGATTACTACCCAAGCCATGAACAAATTGGCATATGATCGATAATATTAAAGAGGAAAACACATGGCTCAAAGATTGGTGTGAGAGAAACAGTTTTGAATTCATGGGACATTGACACCAGTTCTGAGGGAAATGGGAGCTGTTCTGCTGGGACCAGAGTGCTGTTGAATTACATAACAGGAGCTGTCGATAAGGTCTTAAACCAAACAGTGGGAGAGCCGAGTTCAGTGCATGGAAAATTATGGAAAAAGTTAAAAATGGGGAGGCCAGCAGAGGTTACTAGTTTCCAGAATAATTAATAGGACAGACAGTATAAAAAAGCGCAGGAATCTAACTTCAGGCACAGTAGTTAAGGGGACAATTATGAGAAGGGGGGCATTCAACACAAGACTGACGTTGTTGAACTTAAGTGCATGTAATACATTAAACAACATAAATTAACTTGTAGTGCAGGTTGAAATTGGCGGGGATGATGTTGTGGTTATCACTGATGTGGCTGCACGGAGTTCAAGGCTGGGAACTAAATATCCAAGGATCCCATGAAAAGAACAGTCAGATGGGCAGAGGGTGCAGGATTGCCTAGTTAGTAAGAAACTAAATTATATTGATAGCAAAAGGTGATATCAAGTCAAAAGGTGTAGAATCTGTGTGGGTAGAGTTGAGGAACTGCAAAGGTGAAAAAAAGACCCTGATAGGAGTTGTGTACAGGCCTCCGAACAGACCAGGATGTGACGTAGAAAATACATCAGGGGATATAAAGGCATGTAAGAAAGGCACCATGACAATAGTCATGGGGGGACTTCAATATGCAGACGGACTGGGAAAATCAGGTAATAGTGGATCTCAAGAAAAGGATTTTGTGGAATGTCTATGAAATGCTTTTTTTTGGAGCAGTTTGTGGTACAGCCCACTAGGGAACAGGCAATTCTGGATTGATGATGTATAATGAGGCAGACTTGATTAGGGAGCTTAAGGTGAAGGAACCCTAGGGGGCAGTGACCATAATATAACACACCTTGCGGTTTTGAGAGGGAGAAACTGGAATCAGATGTAACACTATTACATTGAGTAAAGATAGCTACAAGGACATGAGGGAGGAGCTGGCCAGAGTTGATTGGAAGGGGAGCCCAGCCGGAAGATGTTGGAGCAGCATGGCAGGAGTTCCTGGACGTAATTCTGGAGCACAGCAGAAATTCCAAAAGAAGGAAACACTAAGGGGAGGATGAGGCAAACACGGCTGAAAAGTCAGGGTCAGCATAGAAGCAAAGAAAATAGGTTGGGGGGTGATGAAAGATGAGAGTAAACTAGCAAGTAATATAAAAGAAGATTGCAAGAGTTTTTTTTTAAGTTATGTAAAAGGTAAGAGAGTGGACTTTGGACCACTGGAGAAGTAATAATGGGGTACAAAGAAATGGCAAAGGAATGGAATAGGTACTCTGCATCAGTTTTCACAGTGAAAGACACCAGCAGCATACCAGAACTTCAACAGAGTCAGGGAGCAGAGGGGAGTGCAGTGGCCATCACTAAGGAGAAGGTGCTGGGAAGCTGAAAGGTCTGAAGGTGGATGAGTCACCCAGACCAGATGGGCTAGTCACAGAATCCCTGCAGTTTGGAAGCAGGCCATTTGGCCCATTGAATCCACATTGACTCTGCAAAGAGCATCCCACCTATATCTACCCCTTACCCTATTCCTATAATCCAGCATTTCCAAGGCTAATCCACTTAATCTACACATCCCCAGACACTACGGGCAATTTAGCATGTGTAATCCACCTAACCTGTAGATCTTTAGACTGTGGGAGTAAACTAGAGCACCTGGAGGAAACCCGCGCAGACACCGGGAGAATCTGCAAACTCCACACAGACAGTCGTCCGAGGTTTACAAGAATGATCCTGGGGATGAAGGGGGAGCAGTTGAGGATTCTGGGTCTGTACTTAGAGTTTAGAAGGATTGTGGGGCTCTGAATGAAACTTAGTGAATATTGAGAGGCTTGGATAGAGTAGAAATGGAGAAAATGTTTCCACTAGGAGAGACTAGAACCTGAGGCCACAGCCTCAGAGTGAAGCGATGACCCTTTAGAACTGAAATGAGGAGGAATTTCTTCAGTCAGAGGATGGTTAACCCGTGGAATTCATTGCATGGGCTGTGGGGGGGGCCAAGTCATTGAGTATGTTTAAGAAAACTTCTTCCCAGGCCTTTTTATTTCCACCAGGGTAGGAGAGTCCAAAACTAGAAGGCATAGGTTTAAGGTGAGAGGAGAAAAATTTTAAAAGGATCTGAGGGGCAACTTTTTCACGCATTGGGCGGTGAATGTAAGGAAGGAGCTGCTAAAAGAAGTGGTGGAGGCTGGTACAATTACAACATTTAAAAGGCATCTGGATGGGTATATGAATAGGAAGGGTTTAGAGGGATATGGGCCAAATGCTGGCAAATGGGACTAGATCAGTTTACGATAGCTGATTGGCGCAGACAAATTGGACTGAAGGGCCTGTTTCCATGCTGTTTAACTCTGTGACTCTATGACAGAGATAGATATGTTCTTGATTGGTAAGGGGATCAAAAGAAGGCAGGAGAATGGGGTTCAAAAACATATCAGCTAAGATTGAATGAAGGAGCAGACTTGATGTGTTGAATAGCTTAATTCTGTTCCTATACATTATGGTCTATACCATATGATAAAAAACAACTTAGGAAAGAGCAGTTTGTAGAAATTTGGAATTTATAGGAAGGATATTATTAATATTATATTGTTATTCCCCTATAGGAAGGATAGTATTAAGTTGGAGAGGGTTCAGAAGAGATTTACCAGGTTATTACAGGGAGTGAAGGGTTTGAGTTATGGGGACGAGGCAGGATGGGCTGGGACTTTTTCCACTGGAATGTAGGTGGTTGAGGGGCGACCTTATAGAAATTTATAAAATCATGAGAGGTATAGAGAAGGTGAATGGTAGGTATCTGTTCCCTAGGGTGGGGGACTTCAAGACTGAGGACATATTTTTAAGGTGAGAGGTGTAAGATTTAAAAGACAAGGAGGGACTTTTTTTTAAAACAGAGAGTGGTTTATATGTGGAATGAACTTCCAGAAAAAGTGGTGGATGCAAATATAGTTACACCGTTAAAAAGACATTTAGATAAGTACATGAATAAGAAATGTTTGGAGGGATAAGGGCCAAGTGCAGGTAGGTGGGACTACTTTAGTTTGGGATTATGGTCAGCATGGACTGGTTGCATCTGAATTTAGTGGGGAGGCGATGGCCTCGTGGTATTATCGCTGGACTGTTAATCCAGAGAACCAGAAAATGCTTTGGGGACCCGGGTTCAAATCTTGCCATGGCAGATGGTGGAATTTGAATTCAATAAAATATCTGGAATTAAGAATCTAATGATGACTGTGAATCCATTGTCGATTGTCGGAAAAACCCATCTGGTTCACTAATGCCCTTTAGGGAAGGAAACTACCATCCTTATCTGGTCTGGCCTACATGTGACTCCAGACCCACAGCAATGTAGCTGATTCTGAACTGCCCTCTGGGCAATAAGGGATGGGCAATAAATGCTGCCTAACCAGCGACGCCCTTATCCCATGAATGAATAAAGAAAAAAATAAAGAAGGGTCTGTTTCCATGCTGTATGACTCTATGACGGTACTGATGGAGGTACAGAAAGTATCTAAGTCCCTGTGAAAACTATTCCACATTATCCAAACATGTCAACGAATGTATGGAATTAAAGGTTTGTACGAATGCTTTCAGATCCTCAGCAACTCCTGTAGACAGAAAGGTCAAATGAGGTCAATTTCTTTCAAACGTTACAAGAAACAAAAATTAATTAAACTGTCACTTATGACCACAAAACTGGAGTATGGAACAAGTCCCATTAATTTCCAGAAAATAATAGGCGGACCAGTCAAATTAAGGAGAGGGGGAAGAATTAAATTATTTGAAGAGACAAGAAAATAATTGCCTCAAAATCAATAGATTTTTTTTTTCTTCTCAGTTTATAGGCAGGAGCAGCTTCAGACTGGAGACCTATCACCTGTGGTGTCCCACGGCAGTAGGTTCTGAGTCTTCTTTTGTATGTCATTTATATAAATCATTTGGATGAGAATACAGAAGACGATTAGTAAGTTTGCAGATGATACCAAAATTGGTGACATAATAGACAGTAAACAAGGATTTCTAAGATTATAAAGAGATCTTGATTAACTGGGTCAATGGGATAAAAAATGGCAGATAGACTTCAGTTTGGATAAATATGAGGTATTGCATTTTGGTACAACAAACAAGGGTAGAGCTTATACAATTAATGGCAGGGCCTTGGGTAGTAATGTAGAACAGAAGGACCTAGGGGGTCAGATACATAATTCTTTGAAGTTAACGTCACATATAGACAGGGTGGTTAAAAAGGCATTTGGCACGTTTGCCTTCATTACTCAGTCCTTTGAGTATAGGAGTTGGAAAGTCATGTTGAGGTTGTACAGGATATTGGTGAGGCCTCTTTTAGAATACAGTGTCTAGTTCTGGTCACTCAATTATAGAAAGGATATTATCAAGCTGGAGATGGTTCAGAAGAGATTTACTAGGATGTTGCCAGGTATGAAAGGTTTGAGTTATAAAGAAAGGCTGGATAGGCCAGGAGTTTTTCCACTGGAGCATAGGAGATTGACGGGCAACCTGATAGAAGTTTATAAAATAATAAGACGTATGGATAGATATAATGGTAGACGTTTATTCCCTAGGATGCGGGATTTCAAGAGTGGGAGGCACATTTTTAAAATGAGAGAGAGATTTAAAAAAAAGGGGCAAATATTTTTTTACACAGAAGGTGATTTGTGTGTGGAATGAACTTCCTGAGGGAGTGGTGGATGTGGGTACAGTTACAATTTTTAATAAGAGACTTAGATATGTACAAGAATAGGAAAGATATGGAGGGATATGGGCCAGGAGCAGGCAGGTGGGACTAGTTTAGTTTGGGATTATGTTCAGCATGGACTGGTTGGACCAAAGGGTCTGTTTCCATGCTGAATGACTATAAACCTAAGTGTTTTTTTTTTAAATTTCTGATGACCTTAGGACAATCATATTGAATTGACAAATTTATGTTAATACGATTGAGTGACAGCAGGGGTTCTATTTTCTCAAAAGGTGAGAAGTACACCTGGCTGAACCAAATGTGGGAGCTGACCTCACTCTGGCAAGCTAATACCTCAGGGTAGCAGCTAATTAATAGACCAATGCTTGGATTGGCATCCAATTGAGGACACCAGCCTAGCCACACAAAGCTGCCATTCCAATTGGAAAAAATGCAAAGTTTTTCTTTCTTACCGAGCTGGGTCAACACTGGGAGGCCACGAGATTTGAGACCACAAGGATGTTCTACCTGTGTTGTGCAGCTGAGAGGTCGCTGTGTAATAGTCAGGAAGAAAGGGAGACTATGAAGCTTTACTTGGCACTTACTCCTTACAATAGTAGGGCCTCTAGACACACATAAAATTAAATCAGGAACTGGAAGTGTTTGAGTGATAAATTGTCTGCCTGTGTGCCATGGAGGTTACCATTGCTGGCAATATGCTACACCAATCAGGCACCCCTCTCAATGCCTTCCTCAATTCTCCATACAACCAGAATTCCTGCCTTCCAGCCCATCACCATACTGCTGGGAAAATTCAGCCCATGATTTTTTAAATGAAGTATTATTCTTGAATGGCACAGCTGGATCAAATCCCCTCCAAAACTGAGCATAGCCTAGTTTGCAAAGCTGATAATTTTTCAATACGGGGCAATGCTATTTAACTTCAGGATTGCAAATATAACATCCCTTTTAAAAGGTGGGAGGGTTAAACATCTCGGGTACAAACCAGTTAGCCCAATATTTATAGGAATCTGGGACAAAATTGAATGGCATTTGCAAATTATGAGCTGGTAATTTAAAATCAATGCAGATCCGTTGCAAATGAATTGTGATTAGTTTGATGTAGCTCAATGATTAAATCTCGGAGAAGGTTCATGTGCATCAGATTTCCACAAGGCCAGTGAAAGAAAAAGATCTAAGGGGATGGGGGCTGAGGACACCTACTTTTTTGCACAGGGCTCTGTGATGTAAGCCCTGCCAATAAAAAAGTGTGGCAGAAACAGATTCAATATTGTATAGGAGAACGCAGATGGTTATGGGGAGAGGGCTTAGCACAGTACTAATGGGTTGAATGGCCTCCTCTGAACTGAATGTTGTAAAGTACATCAGCTTGCAATTCCGGGATCGGACCACTAGAGGGAGGGAAGCCAAGACCCGCCCCACAGCCGGGGCCCGCCATTCAGCCGCATACCTCGGAAAATCTCCCATTGCAATATCGCTGCGCCTGCGGGACGTGGAAAATCTCGTCCATGTAAGGAGCCCTCTGCACCCGGCTGATGGCCGAGAAAACCACGGAGGAGATGAGGAAGTTGCTGCTGAGGACAGCGGAGAAGAGAAGCGGCTCAAGGCGCTCCATGCCGACCGGGCACGGGGGCGTGGCGTCAGTGGGCGGCTCACGGCACGTGATGGGGTGGGGGCCGTGTCGTCAATGGTGGGCGGGGCAAGTTGGCACCGTTTTGGGCGGGACCAATTGCGCCATTGGTGGGCGGGACTAGCGGCTTCGTAAGGGGCGGGGCGGGAGTCGTAGTCGGAACTAGTTTAGGAATAGGAGCCGGGTCGTTGTTTTTGTCTTAGGCGGAACGTTTATTCAGGTTCTCGGCTGTCGGGGGCGGGATGTTCCTGGTGGAGCTGTGTGAATGGTGGGCTGTGTTTAACCCAGTAATGGATTCTTAGTTTAATTCTTTACTCTGAGTAGTTACAGTAATAAAAACAATGTAGACGACGGAACTTTTAGACAAAAAACATAAGTTGCTGGAGAAACTCTGGCAGCGTCTGTGGAAAGACAAACAGAGATAAACATATTCCAGAAATGAATCTCTGTGGACTGGAAACATTAACTCTGTTTTCTCCCCACAGATGCTGCCCACTGCTATGTTTTTCAGCATTTTTTTAAATTTCAGATTTCCAGCGTCCGCAATATTTTGCTTTTATTTTCGTGCCTTATTTCTGTCTTCTTCATGGACAGGTTATGCTCCCACTCTGCAAATGATTGTTGATTTCCCATCTACTGTTATGTCATCTTCCTAATTGGTTATTTCGCTCTGCCTGTCCCCAAAATTTGTATTAGTCAATTCTAATATTGCTGATTGTAAGATATAAGGAATGATTGTGTAGTAGTCAATAATGGCTGTGGTTCAATCATTTAATTTTGGGATACTACCCAGCCAGGACCACCATTGAATTGTTGTCTGACATGCAGAATATAGCTGAATTCCATTTCTGAAATGCCATTGTGATTGTCATGCCAGTTGCTCTGGTAAATGTGAAGCAAGCAGGGCTGCGTAAGTTATATATGCACTATATGGAAGTTGTGAATCCAAAGATGCTTTGCTTGGAGGATATTTATTATGACATTGTCGGTATTTATAAGGTCTCAAATGTCCCAAGTATAAAGATATTAAAAGATTGTAGAGAACAGTGTTTGCAAAAATAGTTCTCAGGGCAAGTTTATCTATAGCATTTCAGTAACCTGGAAAATAATGTTGAAATTGGTATTATTGATTAATCAATGAAGGACAATTACAGTATTTTTCTTTATTGAACATTAGGGGAAATGTGTGCTGTACATTTATCCCTTCCTGCTGGTGATGAATATCTAGAAGAATGTAGTTCAGAAATATTATAGATGTGCAAAATGTTAACTCATACATTTCACTAATATAGTAAGTCTTTGTTCGTATGTTCTTCTGCACTTGTTTAGTGCAAAGTGTGAAACTCGGCACGTCCAGCAGTATCTACGGGGAGAGATACAGAATTAATGTTTCAAGTCCAATAAGACTCATCTTAACCATGCAGTTCTGAAGAAGAGGTTCTTCCAGACCAAGTTTCTCAACATTTTCTATTTATATACAAGCAAAGCACTACAGATGTGAGAAACACAAAGTAAAAACAGATCTCTGGCATCTGCAGTATTTTGCTTTTGGAAAATTAAAAAAAAGTAAATTATTTTCCTTAAGTAATATGTAACCATTACATGAATGCATTCTTGGTATTTCTGTTTTAACTGTTTTTTTCCCATTACTGGTTAGTTTTGTGATAGTCATGGCATGAACCATGCAGTATTTTTCAAGGAAGGATTTTACTTTGTAATTACAGAACCTAATGGCAAGATCAAGTTTTTTCATAGCAAAAGTTTTGTTAATCAGTTGCAATGATCCTTTGTCACTTCAGGTATGTTAATCATCACATGAATTGCTTTTAGCCAATGAACAAGATGATTTTGACACATGAACTAGAACTCTTTCCAGGATGCACTGTGACTCTTCTGTTGTTTAAAGATGTTAAAAATGCTGCTGAACTTCGAAAGAAAGCTGTGGAAGGAACTATAGATGGAGCTTTGATAAATGCATCCATGGTGAGAATGATAATCTAATTATTGCTGCGATTTTGTTTTTAAAATGTACAGAAAGGGAATACTGCAGTGATAAAGATTAGATTTCTTCTGAGGAAAGGAAGTGGTGCATCTATGAGCAGTAGAGAAGCTGATGAGCAGAGTGACTAAAATATTTGATAGATTCTTGTTATTTTGTTTAATAAAATGTGGTTTCTAGTTTCATGTAATCTTCTAACAAGTTTGTTATTCTGCCACCTTTTGGGTTAGTAAGTAATGCATTGCAAAGTTGCTGATCTGTTCTACACCAGGAAGTTTCCACCTTCAGTCACTGGCCAACTGTCGCAGTAGCTGATCTCAGCTCGGGTAATGAAGGTATCTTCGTGCTGCCTTCAGCAACTATTGGGTAAACATAGAAAAGACAAAGCCTAAGTTTCACTCTTTCTTTTTCCCCAATGGCCTCTTATAAATTGACATGGATTAATTTTTGGCTGTTTTAGTTTTGGTCACTTCTCTCCAAGTCTTGCCCAATCTAGCTTCAGGAGCATTGGATATTGTATAAGATAAACTGGTCAAGTTTGAACTAGATTGGCGGCACCCTTCAAGTTATTTCTCGGCTGTTAAATAGAGCAATTGGACAACTTTCGGTGTACTGGGTAGCAGCCCTGCTTCTAAACCAAAAGCCCCAGATACCAATTCTACTTCAGAATTTGATAGATAAGGAAGATACATAATATAAGTGTACTGGTTAAAAATCAGCTTGTAAATCCTTCTGCCATACGCCAATGACAGGTGTCAAGAAGGTGAGACTCATGGTCTGCTATCTGATGAAAAGAAATTGCAGCCTGTCCCATCATTGCCATAGCTTCAGAATGCAGCATGCATGTCAAAGTGTGCATTCCACTGCACCTCTGAATAGTTGAACAAACTAACTCTGGGGCGGTTAGCTCAGTTGCTGGACAGTTCATTGGGATCAGATCGGGACCAATACCTGTTTGATCTCTGTTCAGGCTGGAGTAGATTCTGGGCCTGCCTCCTTGCACGTATGTGTGGAAAAAGTCATAGTGATGTGGGTAGGACCTGCTATTGCGCAGAGAACTCAAAACAGAAATACTGCAATGTAGCAGTTTCTAATCAACTGTATGTACAATTGCAAGAATTAAGTTCCTGTCATAAAATCACTACATTATCGGTGTCAGATATAAAATAGAATGTGAAAATATTAATTGTTAAGTTGATTTCAGAAGACACTATTCTCCAATATTGTAAATTGTGATTTTCATTTGCAGGAACTTGTACGTAAAATGCACCTGACCTACTATGTTATCATTGAGAAAGCTATATAAAACTGTCAATTAACATGGAGCTGCAATGCAATACATGCTTTTGTATAAATTGCACACACTGTCTTTATCGCTGTCTTTCAGATAGTTGATCCATTTCAGATACTTGTGGCAGTCAACAAAGCTGTTCATTTACACAAACTGGCCAAAATGAAGACAAGAGGCCTTTATTCTGAAATCATATTTAATCTCTCTCCAACTAATAACGTAAGGCTTGATTTTCTGAGCATCAAATTGATTTTGGTGTATTGTAATAACTTGTACACATTATCAGATGTATTTGTGCTGCTTTACATTTATCTTCACGCATCCTGCATACTACAATTGTGTAACAATATAGAGTTGAACCTCATAGTTGTAAACTGGTATCTCTAAGTGGAAGGTACAGTGGCCATGCAGGAACCAGCCATTAGTGTCACTCACTAATATAGATGTTTTTTCAGTTAAAAATGAATAATTTTCTCAATTCTAAAGATGGCATCGAGAATAGAAAAAAGAACTATGAAACCTGCCTCTTCTATTCAAGATTTGACTTGTAATTTTGTTTTTTATTCACTCATGGGACATGGGTCTTGCTGACTGGTCTAGCATTTATTGTCCATCCCTAGTTGCCCTTAAAGAGGTGGTGGTGGTGAGCTTCCTTCTTGAACTGCAATAGATAGATCCAGCATGCTATTAGGGAGAGAGTTCCAGGAATTTGTCCCAACAGTAGTGAGGAAACATGATATATTTCCAAGTTCAGATGGTGAATAGCCTGGAGAGAAACTTGCAGGTGGTGGTGTCCCGATGTACCTTCTGCCTTTTGTCCTTTTTTTGATGGAAGTGTGTGTGGGTTTGGAAAGTGCTGTCTGTAGAATTTTGGTGAATTTCTGCAGTGCATTTTTTTAGATAGTAACAGCAGTGTGTACAGAGCATCGGTAAGAGTGAATAGCACCACATCCACAAGCAATGAAGGAAGCTACATTTGTCCTGGATGGTGTCATGCTTCTTGAGCGTGGTTGAGGTAAATGGGGAGTATTCCATCACACACCTGACTTGTTCCTCACAGGTGATGGACAGGCTTTGGGAAGTCAGGAGCTGAGTTATTCACTGCAATATTCCTAGCCTCTGACATGCTGTTGTAGCCACTATTTGTTTGGCTAGTCCAATTCAGTTTCTATTCATTGGTAACCCACAGGATGATGACAGTGGGGGATTTGTTGACACTAATGCTATTGAATGTGAATAGGTGGTAGTTAGATAATCTCCAATAAGAGACAGTTGTTGCCGTTTCTATGATGTGAATGTTACTTGCTACTTGTCAGTCCAAGCCTGGATATTGTTAATGAACATGGACTGCTGCAGTATCTGAGGAGTTGCAAATGGTGCTGAACATTCTGTAATCCTTATGTATCTTAAAGAACACACCCTCTCTAACATCTCTTGCTGGCCTCTCACAATTAGAATGATCGAATAATTCCTACCACACGTGTTGTTGCTTCAGACACCATTTGGAAGAGGAATATGAAATGATTAACTGCCCCACTCCTTTTATGCAACATTGAGGGTCTTAGCTTATTCAACTCTTCTTTCATTCCTGCAGCTGGTTTTTTTTTTTAAATTTTGCTATTCTTTAAAACATGATTCTTGAATATTTCTTCATCAGAAAGGATGTAAGTTTAAAAAGTCACACTTTCATTAGTTATTTTTCTGAAGATTTCAGATGCGTTCAGAAAATTTGGGATTTCAGATAATGACTCAGCTGTTCTCATTGTTCTGGTGGATGATGGAGAGAAAAAATCTGATTTAGAAGGTGTTTTAAGGCAAGTGGACGGGCAACAAATCCATGTCCAGGATCTTTCAGCAATAGCGGATGTGACCGAAATTAAAAAGGTTTGTGAATAACTTGGCAGCTCGCATAAAGTACATCATCATTACAGGATTTCAAATTAACTTGGCTTTTTTAACAGTCTGCATCCAAATCACGATTTTCACTTCATGCACTTTTGAATTGTCATTTGATAGCACTATCATTGGGGATAAATTGCGGTTTGCTGCAAAAGTCTATTTTGTATGGTAACAATTATATGTCGATGAAACTCTGTATCAGGAAATTTACTCAGAAACAAATGGCTGACACGCTGAACCATTCAATCCATTTTATTTATTCTTGCACTGTTCTTCGGATTAACATTTACATTGAAACCGCTGATGTTCCTATTAACATGTACACTTGTTCATATAGAGGTAATGGTAACAAAAAATGTTTGCAGCTGAATCATTGATGGAAAAAGTGCTCTAGCATAGTTGGATAATGTTTTCTCCACCTTCGTCAGGATCTCTTTTGTTAAGTCAATTGCAGATGCCTCTTCACACCTGTAATCCCTGACAGGATAACACATTTTCATTGTGGGAGGAAGAAAAGCCTTCCTGTCATTCAAAATGGAGGATAATCAAAATGTTTTACTTTTCACAGATTTACAAGGTGTCTCCCCCTGAGGAAAAAGTTGGCAATTTGTTGGATGCAATTATTTGTCGAATGTCAGTGAAAGATATTCTTTGACAGAAGAAACCCTGTTACTTTAAATGAACTCTTCAACTATTTTTTTTCTGAAGGTGAAACCGGAGAGCAGCAGCATACAAACTGGGATGCATTGCCTCCAATTTTATATGCAATCGAACTAGGAGTCAAAGTCCTCTTCTTCACTAACCACTGCAACCCATACAGAAAGCCCACTGTTATTGTATCAAGGTCAACTGTATTTTTAAATAATAAATGCTGACTTCGTAAACAACTGCCTGTGCTTGAATAAAGATCCTGGAAATGCCTGCATTTCTTGTTGATGTACACTTCCTTTGCTGTTTTGTTATTCCTGTGTGACAATAATGATTGACCAGTACACTTACAATAAGATAAATTTCTTATTGTATTATGTTGCTGGTCTCCCACAGAGTTAACATTGTTACTCATCATCATCTCCAGTCTATTCAGCAACTAATACTAGCACTAACTTGACTTCCTCCGGCCTGTTATCCAAAACTGCAGCCATGCTCATCCATGCCTAGCCAGTTTACTGTCTTCAGCTGTTTTCTTTTTTTCTCAATTCATGCTGCAAACCTTCCTTAACTAATCCAGGGCATATGTCTTTCACAGTGCCAGTTATTTAAAATGTTATGCTACTAGCCACAGGCTCATTCTGGCAAGTAACTATTTAACTGATGTTTCATGTATACTGGCAGGTATCCTTTCCTTAGGACGGGGGATTTCTAGACTAAGGGGCATATTTTTAAGATGAGAGGAGAGAGATCTTAAAAAAGACATGAGGGACAAATGTTTTACGGAGAGGGTGGTTTGCCTGTGCAATGAACTTGCTGAGAAAGTGGTGGATGTGGGTACGATTACAATGTTTAAAAAACACTTAGGTAAGTAATGAATACAAACGGTTTGGAGGGATATGGGTCAGGAGCAGGCAGGTAGGACTAGTTTGGTTTAGGATTATGCTTGGCAATGACTGGTTAGACAGAAGGGCCTGTTTCTGTGCTATATGACAAAACAGAGTGCTGGAGAAGGTGAAAAATGGGAGTAAAAGGTCTGGGAGGGAGTGGAGGGGAGAGAAGAAAAAACATCCAGAGCTTTGGGATGAGAGTAAAAGATGAGATTGAATTCAAGAAACGGAAGGTGGACTGAAGAAATTATGACAGTGAATTGAGGCAAAGGAAGGAGATCACTGAAGTAATGACACCTTTTATTTTACTTGCTACCGATCCTGAAAGAAGTTGCTCCAAAAATGCCCTTCAATCTCTGGCTGGGATTGCAGTGTTTTCGACATTTATTTCATTCAAATACCAGTGGGAGGGGATCTCTAGGTCCCAGAAACACTGAAGATAATCAAGCAGGCTGTGATTAAGACAGAAACTAAAACAATACAAGTAAACATTTAAATATTGAATTTTAAAAAATCACAATGGAGAAATAAAAAAAATCCCACAACCTGAAAACTAGTTTTACAGGATCAGAGTTGTAATTTAAAGCCTGGTACTGTTTGAAAAATCCAGTTGCAGCTCATAAAATATGGTTGAAGTTTTTTCTGGGTTTTTACAAGTATCATGGTGTAAAAGTGGAAGTCTGCGTCAAAATGATTTCATAGATATCCAACTGTGCGATCCTTAGTAGTACGCCTCGGTGTCGCTGACAGCAACTGTTAGATTTCCCTGTTTAGCTGGCATGTATGGATACCAGACGTTGCTGTCAGTTTCACTGGGAAATGCTGACCATTTTTCTGTCAAGACAACTGCAAAATCAAGGTCAATAGACATAAATGTTGCATGGAAAAATAAAGGGAATGAATGAGATACTGTGCAGAAAGCTGGGAGAGACAGCAAGATTGATATAGGCAGAGCACTTAAATACCTAAATTAAAATTCTGCAGATCTATCATCCATGATAATAATTAAATCAACAATGTAACGTTTCATTGTACCGTCTCAATAGATAATGCTGTGACAGTATTACCTGCTCTGTATTAGCCTAGAAGTTGCATCAAACAACTAAAAGCAAAATAATTCCTTTGATATTAATAGTATATAAATCCTTGTTGATCATCCCGAAATTTGAGGATGACATGTACCTCAGGACCATGAGTTTGTGCAGTGGATTTTCTCATGACTGAACACGACAATTTTCAACCCACAGATATTTGGGCTCATGAGTCATTACAACCCAAAAGGTAGTGGGATTCGGGTATAGCATTTAGTTCATTTCCCATCTGTCTGTGCCAGTGCGCAGTCTTATTATGGTATTTAGACACAGCACGATGCATATTAATGGACAATGCCATTTTGATTGATAGTAATCTCCTCCTACTTATTAATCTCAATGCTGACATGCTTCAGGAAGAGCTACAGAGTGCCTTTGTATCATTTTCTTTGACCTTTTCTGCAAAGTTCTTTCTGAGTTTCTTTCCCACCACGTGGACCTTTGAGGCCTGGGCACTGCAGCGATTCCTGGAAGAGGAAGCCATGTATCAGCACTTCAATTGGCATGCGTGGAGCTTCCCAGCAATTCTGCAGTCACACAGCTTAGAGGGAACATAGTCCTGCTGATATACCGGCACTTGGAGAAATGAGAAAACATGTTCTACTGTCCAGTCCACTTTCATTGATTTTGCAGATTTGCCTGAATGCTTGCAGAAGTGTGTTCAAGGAGGATAATAGCATTTGTTTGACAATCCTTCTGTTAAATCCATGAATGTGATGCCAAACAGGTAAATATATAAATCAGTACAAACAGACATGCTCTGTCTAAAAGCAGGCCTTTATCTCATTCACTGCAGCTACTTCGTCCTGAGTGGTTATCTTGGAAATTTCTGTTTACCTTTGCCTTCCACTCTCAGGAGCACAGTATCTACCTTAGATGGAAGGGGAATCTAACCTGTAAACTGTGTTTGTGTATCCTGAACCACAAGCTAGCCATCTAAGCTAACTAAACTTTCAATTGTAATCGTGTGATTGAACTAAATCTTCAGATGCCCATCGCAGGCACGCTGTTATATGAGCAAGCTGAACTCATGGTTACAAAAAGGTAGATTTGCTGCCACCAACCTCCTTTTAGATTGGGATCTACAGGTCCAGCTTTGTCTGCTGTCATAGAGGAAAACCTATAGGGAGTCCAATGAGAAGAGGCTCTTGCCTTAAACAATCCGGAACAAGTTATATTGTTGTTACAAAGGCTATAAGGAGACACAGATGATGGATCTGTCTCCTTTGAGATCCAGAACTGTTTTGATTTTCTCCAGTCCATGTGACAGATTAGAGCTTATTACCATTTTCAGAAATATTATACAACACCCCATTATAAATACATCACAATATTTCATTTTAGTATTACAAGAAAAGTATTTTCTGACTCTGTCCAAGTATTCTTTAACAAATATAGGAAGTTTATTTTAAGCACCACTGAAATTTACATTTTCGGTTATGTTAAAACTTTCTTTTAATAAGAATGTCTGTGCTTCATAGCCTAACCAAAGAGAACATTTCCTATGCACAGGATGTACTACAGACAAAATGGAACATTCTTATAAATTACTTCATTCTAAGATTTCAGAACAATTTTAAGTAAACTGACTGAAACTATGACACTGTTCATGTCTGGCAAGAGCTAAATGCATTCAATGATGTTATAAAAACAATTCAATACATCTCTGGTATTAATATTAAACCTAAGCCATTTGTGTTCTCAGTGGAAGGTTGGAAGTGAAAGATCATTTCACAGGTACTAAATGATACGGTGGATTATAATAGCATCCTTTCATCTCTGGGATTTAGTTTCAAAACAACCCTGGTCTAATGGAAGTCTCTGAAGACTGTGTGTAAATTTGGAAAACGCAGTACAGTACAAATTACAAATTCATAGTGTAACACTGATTGAAGGCTAACTTGTCAGCAGTAAAAATTGCAAGAATGCCTTTTGTGGAAAACTATGTTGTCACACTGGTGAACAAAACTTTAACTTTTAAGGATATTCTTAAAGCAAGAATATCTACCAACAAGGCGACTGCTGATTCTGGTTGTCAAAAGTGTGGAAATGTTTACCTCTGCATCACAATGTTAATCATATTGGCACAAAACTTGATAAAAGTTCTGTTGAAGATCATGAATTGGATTTCAAATATATCGCTGCTTAGGCCAACATGTTCCTTCCTTGGGAATTTTGCCAAGTACAATGACCTACCAACACTCACAGTTATGTCTGAGTAAATCAGGCTGCAGAATCCAGGAAATGCAGCAGTTGCAGTGTGAGTTACTTTGTTTCTCTATGAGCCTTACAGTAATACTCTGTTACTTATTTAGTGAGCAATGAAATATGTGGAGGGGTTTGAACTTTTGATACTTACCCAGAAGGTAACAACTAAATATACCAGAAAAAAAATTCTGGTCTAACTGAAATTTTAATGGTATAATGAATCAGAATTAGTGCCAATACACGTCTACGGTCATTGCATCTCATTCCTTCAAACATTGATTGGTGTTGGAGATATTAAATTTTCTTTTAACTTTATCTGTGTATTTTAGCTCTAAATCCCACCTTTCTTTGTTAAAATTTATTTCGCTTTATATGGATGATTTAAATTTAATTGACATGCCCTTTTATATACTCTGCATGTCTCCATGAGGATTCTTAAATCTGATTATGATGTGGAGGTGCTGGTGTTGGATTGGGGTGGACAAAATCAGAACGGTCAATGACACCAAGTTATAGTCCAACAGGTTTATTTGAAATCACAAGTTTTTGGAGTGCTGCTCCTTGTCAAGTGAAGTGACATCTGAAGTTGTGTGACTTCTGACTAAATATGATTTAGCTGAAGAACTTTGCATTTGCTAATCCCATCCACCACAGATACCTTCTTGAGGGCACCATGCACAGTCAGACTCCCCACTTAGAGCGAACGTCAGCTAAAACAAAAGACCCTCGGTAGCTGTCAGTGTAATGAATGATGAGTGCTGCTCCTTCACTGCCAAAACTGTAAGCAGAGATCTTAATAAAAAACAACTAACACACTTTCTGAAGAAGGGTCCCGACCCGAAACGTCGGCTTTCCTGCTCCTCTGATGCTGCCTGGCCTGCTGTGTTCCTCCAGCTCCACAGTGTGTTATCTCTGACTCCAGCATTTGCAGTTCTTGCTATATCTAACAAATCATTACAATTGGAATTTATATAGGAAAGCATGGAAGTTGTTGGTAATTGATTATTTCAAATAAAAATATTTGCCAGTCTTTTTATAATTCAGCTGGAGTTCATTAAAATACAAGTATAATGTACATAACCAAATCAAATAGATAAAATTATTTATAG